AAAATACTGCTGTTAGTCTGAAATCCAAATTTAACTGGGAATCTAGATGTCCTACTTTTGGCTTTTGTTTTAAATATGACCTTACCTATTAACGATTTAATGATCAAATAATCATAACCACGACTTTTATAGTCATTGCTTCCTTTTTTTTTTGTACCAGGGATTAAACTTGGGACCTTGCATTTGCGAAGCAGGTGGAGGAACCACTGAGCTAAATCCCCAGCAATCACTTCCTTATTTTTAAAAATAGCTTTGTCACCCAATATGCTTCCCTAGACACTATAGTTTACTTTTCCTCATTTAAAAATATTAATATATCTTTTATCTTTCTAATATATAGGTTACTGTTCCATCCCTCTTATTTTCTTAAAACTAACAATGGATGATAGATTCAAAACAATTAAGCAAAGGGACTAATTGTCCTATCAACATCAAGACATCTTCAAAATACAGAAATTAAGATAGTATGGGATTGGTGTTTTCAATAACATTTTTTCCTTAGGAAAAGAATAGAAAGTCCAGAAATAGACTGTGTGTTATCCAAACACTACCCTGTAAGTCATTCTATTCCAATGATACATGATAACCACATCTGTCATATATCAAGTTTATAATAAATGTACACACACATAGACACAGTTCATACAGACATACACACAACATGCTTCCTTCACATATAACTTTAATGCCTTAGCTCAGAATCTGAGCTCAGCCATGTAACTTGCAGTGGCCAGACATGACATATAAAGGCCAATGGGGCTTGTTCCCTTTTGCAACCTGCTGACATAGGAAGACATCTGGGTAGATGAATGCTGAGGAATGTGTGGCACGGTGGCAGATATGCTTTGGGCGTTCCCAGTTGGGAACATCCATTGGCAGAGCAACCTAGGTAACTGGCAACTCACCAGAGACTCAGCTGAACCTGGTCTCACAGGAATACAAATTAAATAAATGGCAGTTATTTTAAGCCCCTAAATTTTAGTGTACTTACACAAAAAACTTAATTATATGAAAACAAAACCTGGATTCTTACCTCCCATAATATACATATTTTAAAATTCCAGGTAGAGTAAGGGTGTTTATGAAAACCAAAACAAGCTTTCCGATACAAGAATAGACTTCATAGCCTGTCCAGGTTAGGATGTTTTCAGCAAAATGCAAAAGGTTATACCTTTATATAGAGAGGAAGCTGGGTGTGGTGGTGCATGCCTATAATTCCAGCACTCAGGAGGCTGAAGCAGGAGGATTTCTACAAATTCAAAAACAGCCTGGGGTACATAGTGAGTGCAAGGCCAGCCTGGACTATATGTGAGACCCTGTCTCAAAAAACAAAAAACAAACTTCACCTGAGCTGTATTCCAGTTCAACCCCACACCCTGGGAATCAGAGTGTCTTCTCCAGAGATGATTCTTTAACAATAAGGTAAAATTAAAAAACAAAGTACCGAAAGCAAATAAGGTAAATTTAAAAAGCTAATGCGAGGGGCTGTCATGAATGCTAATAGCTAAACCAAAGAAAATGAAAACAAAATATTTCAATATTGTTGTCATGTTTCACACGTGATAGCTGCCCCCCTGCCCTGAAGGTCACCTCCAAGTGTAGAGCTCCATCACGATGGGAAACACTGTATTACGATTTCCAAACCATTTGAGATGACTCTTACATTCTCATAGTACAATATACAGTTCTCAGTTTCCTGTACATTTTAAACAAAGTAAATGTCCTTGTCAATGAAGTTTACCACCTAGGTCAAACCATCCCAAATTTACTTTAAAAAGACCCAAAAATTCATGATGAATGAAGCAAAACTAAAAAAGGAAACAATGTTCCTTCTATTTTTCCATAATGCTCCCTGCTCCTGTGCTCAGTCTCGCTGGCATTAACATGTAGAGTGAAGGTTAAGCACTTGCCTGGGTAGGAAGGAATCCAACCCTTCTCTAGGTTGGAGGGTACGTGGGACAGGCCAGGGGAGTTTTTATGACAGAGTCATCGCTGAACTGTCCCGATTAATCCATAAGAAAGCTGGCTTTTCACTGGTTTTGCTTCAAGCCTAACTCTGAGCTTGCAGTTCATAAATGTAATAAGAAGCAAGAAAAATCAACTTAACGTTTTATTCAAAGAACCATTTTATGACTTTATGTCCTGCTCTGTCTCTGCTGACATTTCCTACAGCAGACTATGCAACAGGAAATGTGCTGTAGGAAATGTCAAGAGAGACAGATAGTGTTATGCTTTAAAATAATCACAAAGATTCTTACTGTGCTTGTTAAGTGACTGAAATTAAAATGTACTATCACCATTTGAGGGTATAAAGATTTAATGTCTGTAGAAGCATCAATCTTCTGAGTGTGTATTTTCTCCAGGCACTGCATTTGCAATTCTTACTAAGTTATCTGATTGCCTGTATATTCTTTTCACCCAGATGGAAGAAACTTGCCAAACAGCTCTTTCTTATAACTTCAAATGCAGAGCCCCCAAAGAATCAATTCACTGACTCTGATGACTGTCTCTGCTCTTTACAGAGCATGTTTCTAAGACTTTAGTCTTTTCTTTAAAAAAAAAAAAAAAAGTTAAATTTATTCCTCCTTTGAAGAATAAATTTAAAAAACAAAGCCAAAAAATAAAAAAAAAACAAAATTCCATGACTACTGCCAATAAAAGCAATAAAGAATGTGGGAATGCTTACAAAGTCTACACAAAGGACACTGGATAAATTACAGATCCTAAAGTCTTTTAATTACACTCAAATTGAAAGGATTTGCTCCACTGTCCTGTTAATCCTAGAGTTAGGACTCACACCACTTCTGCTACAGTATCAGAGGCCAGTGAACAGTGGAAAGTTCATCCTGAACTAGAAGGTGTAAAAGTGAAAGCATGAACAATCCTAATGACTTTACTCTGTGCTAACCGGAATCTAGCAATTTAGGACTTACTCTTTTACAAAGCCACCATATCTGAATTCCAGGGAGTTGTTCCAATTTGGAGTTCAGTTTTCACTGTACTTCATTTTAAATAGTTTTTATCAGTGACTTTTTTTATTTTTCTTTTTGGTACCAGGAATTGAATCCAAGGCCTTTCCACTGAGCTACATCCCCAGACCTTATTTTATTTTTTATTTTTTGAGAAACAGTCTTGCTAAATTACTAAATTTTCCAAGGTGGGCTAGAATTTGCCATCCTCCAGTGATTCTTTTAACCCAAAAGTAGATACAAGGTCCCACAAATTGACTACTATCTGTGTGCTGTCAAAGTCAAACAGGTTCAGCTTTGAAACTGTAAACCCAAATTACAACAGTGTTTTTCTGTTAATAGGCAAGCAAACATTTAATTATTAACCCATGCCTCTCACATGAGTAAAAAATTAGTGGTCCTCAATTTGGGTGGTAAATCAAGTATCAGGTTTAAAAAAACATAAAAACATACAAGTACCTAACTTGTTCTAAGATTCTGATTTAGAAGATCTGAGGGAGGTTCAAACTGTATTTTGAAAAAGCTTCCCGAGGGACTCTGAGGCAACGAAGGTAGAGCCTGTCACGTAAGCACTGACATAAACAAAACCACATGGCAGTGAGGAATGAAGTCTCTGTTTCTCAGAGGCAGCAGGAACTGTGCCAAGGACTGTTCAAAGTACAGAAAGACTGTTTTACGTCTTTCTGGAGTGTCAATTTTACTTGATGGGTAAACAGTTTAAAATGTCATTTTTATTTTGGGTGGTTGTACATAAATGTGAAAACCTGCCTGGCATTTAAGATCTGTGTATTTATTATACTTTATACTTCAATGCCATTAAAATATGGATCCATTTTGTAGTAGAACGCTAAATCTTCACTTACTTTTTAGATAAACTCTGAGACTTCAAAGATATCTCCCTCTTTTCTTTTTCTTTCAGTACTGGGGAATGAACTCAGGACACTGTGCTTGCAAGGCAGGTGGCAGAACCACTGAGCTAAATCGCCAGCCCTAAGATATTTTCCTCTTAGTCTCCAGTATCCAGGGACGTAACCAGGGCCTAAAACTAGAGTTTGAAAATCCCTGGGTTTAGAAATCCTTTCACTTCCAGGGCTTCTTATTCATTCCACCACCCATGACCTGTTCCCCTCTTCTTGTCTCTTTGTCTTGTATCACTGGGTCTTTTTGCTTAACAAAACTCCAAATCCTCAAAAATTTACAAGTGCTTTTGATATGACTGGAGGTTTTTCTTTCAATTTTTAGGTGGCCTGAGTTTGGTAAACAGATTGCCTATTTACAAATGTTTATGTTTATTGTTACTGAGGAAGTGATCTAATGACAGAGGTATAGCACCTTCCTCGCTCAAAATTGTTTTAAAACGCTATCAGGGGCTGGGGACTTAGCTCAGGGGCACCGAAAGCCTCAGGTCCTGAGTTCGATCCCCGATACCAAAGAAAAAAACAAACGAAAAAACAAAGCTGGGATTGTGCTTGCTTCAACAGCACATATAGTAAAAGGCTATCAGGGATGGTCGTAGGTGTGGACTGAATAACATAATTGAAAAAAAAAAAGCCGCACTTCCTGGCTTTGGAAAAATAGTGCTAGAGAGTAATGTAGGTTAGCAGCAAGGTTTGGCTTTGTCGTGGCCTAAGGGCCTTAAGGGTGGGCAGGAAACAGGATTCGAGTCTGAAGCTGGGTCTGTATCCAGACTCTGGGCAAGTTATTTCTTGCCTGGAAGCTGAGGGTCATATATAAAGTGAGGGTAAAGAGTATGCCCCTGACGTGCACTTAAGTAACACGCATTACTATGGCTTATGGCGCACAGTTATAAAACCGGAGGTCATACTACCGTGACCACACGAACCACTTGACACCCTCCACTCGGCCCAGCGAGGGGTGGGACCGGAACCCGCGCTGCGCCACGCCCCCTTCCTCACGGGCTCAGCCCGCCTCCCGCCCGGGAAGCTCGTGCGCCTCTAGTTCCTGGTAGTGACCAGAGGCGTAAAAAAAGTAGCTACAGTGGCGACAGTCCTCCGATGTTTGGCTTCATACCTGCTCGACGCAGGCCGCATCCCGCTGTTAGTTTTTCTCCTTCACACCTTGAACCCGCGAAGACTCCCCTTCCTGGTTCCTCACAGGGAAAAGGGCGCACTCCGACGGGAGAGCGGCGTCTTCACATCGCACCTCAGGGCGAGCCGACCGTGTAAGCCCCGCCCTCTCCGCCCGATACTTAAAGCGATTGGCTGTCCCTCTCGCGTGCGGCAGCTTTTGAAGTTTTTTCCCTAGGTGACTCTCGGTCACTTGGCTGCCGGCTGCGAGAGGATCCTGAACTTCTAGGTGGAAGATGCTAGAAAACTACTTTGCGGAGTGCAGCATCGGAACTGAGGAGCAGGTGTCTGATGCTAAAGTCGTACCTCAGACCCTGAAAACAAGTAGAAGGTGCCTCTCTGGCGTAAAAGACTTCTACGGTGGCCTGCGAGGGCTGAAGCGTTGTCTTGGAGACAAGAAGCGCGATGGATGTGGAGTTCCCGGCAGTTCCTTTGCCTTTTGGCGCCCAAAAGGAGGAAAGAAAAGTAGTCGGTGTGGGGTTGGCGTTTTATTCCCCTCTCTTGAACCCCCTACAATGTGCTGTACATGTTTGGCATCGTGGGCATCCCAGTGACAGAAATCGCTCTTGCTACCCAGGAGGATGTAGTGCAGTGCCATGACACTGGGTTTAATCTCCATCTTTTAATATCATAAAAAAAAAAGATTACACATTTTAAAATACTGTTATTTGAATGAACTTTGGAAACTATACTGTCTGGTAGCTACCAGTCATATGTAGCTACCACACCTCACTAGGATAATTCTTTTAAATAAATATAGATACATGTTTTGTGTTACCAGATTTTTTTTTTTGCAACTTGCTAATATGCTTGTATTATTTTGTGTCAGACCAAGTTGGGTTTTACATTTTGGACTGCCTCCAAGATACCAGCCAGATAAGTTTACCCAGGTACTCCGAGAAGAGAAATTTCAAATGAGAGCCAACAGCAGTTTATTTCTCTCCTCAGCCATTATCAGCTGTGCTGCTTTCTTAAGGCTCTGTAAAGTACTTTCTTTTTACAAAAGTAGATTTTATAAATTGTCTAACATAACTAAAGTTACCAAAGTAAGCTGCCTTTTCAAGCCTACAAAATATAATGTGCCATTGTACTGTTAACCAGAAAACCTTTCAAAAGTTTCATGTAGTTTAAAATGCATAATTTGCCTCCTCTTCATAATTCAAATATATTTAAAGGTAGAGAAAAATGAAACAATTAGCATTGTTTTATAGTCTGTTTTTCTTTCAGATTTTCCAACTTTCTTTGGTCCTTTAGTTAGAAATCTCAAGTCTCCTTTTAGCTGTGTCATGAAACACTGTCTGGAAAATGCTCTGGTCTCTCTTTCCTGACTTCGTTATCATTGTGACCCTCTTTATAAGACAGTTTCCATGCTGGGGAAGTGCTACCTACATTGTGACTCAACGGCAGTTGATCTCTTCACCCTCTATCCTTTTCTTCCTTAGCACTCAGCTTCTAATAGCCTCTTTCCCACCTGCAGCCATGGAGAACAAAAAATCCAACAAATGAGATTATGGGTTATTCCTGGAAGACACTGACCCTTCCTGATTGATTGCTCCTCTTGATTACCAACTGAAACCCACCCCCTTTGGGGCATGATTCCTCCTTGCAGAAACTGTTTTCACCTGTCCTTGGCTATGGCCATGAATCTTCTCAGTAAATGGGAAATAACCATGACCTGCTTTCAGAGTGGTTCCAAAGCGAAGTCTCTGGGTCACCAGCCATCATCACCTGGGAACCACTGGAAATGGTTCCAAAGCAATCTCCTCCCAAACCTGTGAAGTCAGAGACAGAGAGGCTCCTCCACTGTATGGCTTAACAGGCTGGCTCAGGGTTCTGATACATGCTCTAATGTGAGAACCCCTGCTGTCCATAGTAATTCCAAATGTAATCCAGTAGAACCTTAATATGGGTTCGATTCAAAACTATAACTGATGTGGTCATTTCTGGGAGTGTAATTGGGACAGTACCAAAATTCCATAGAGTAGATTTTAAATGAGGGAAGACAGTGAGATTTCTACACTATGGTACTCATATTTCTGATTTTTATTTGCATTAAGGAATTTTTCATATCAAATCTTTATCATGTTATATATACACAGTTCATTTATTCAGCCTTAATTGACTTTTAAAATATTTGAAAGAATAAGCATGGCTTGTTCTTGAGAACTTACTCGTTTTAGGTTGGTATCTGTGCAGAAGAATTGGAGAATAATGTTGCCTCGCTGTGAATTTGCTAGGAGACATAAACGCTGTTATCAAACAGGTGGGAACTTTTGCCTAGGGTTTAGTTTATGTGTCCTAATCTTTAATGAACAGTGGACTCTTTTTTTTTTAATTTCCCCTGTACTGTGGATTGGACCCAGGGGTGCTCTACCACTGAGCTACATAACAACCCTTTTTATTTTGAGAATCTCACTAGTTGCTCAAGCAGGCCTCATACTTGTGATCTCTTGTGATCTTCCTGCGTCAGCCCCGAGTAGCTGGGATTATAGGGTTGTGACATCGTGTCCAGCAGGGACAGTCATTTTTTTTAAGTTGTACTATGATTGACACTCATTTTTGGGAATTTTTATTTTAAGAAAAGAAATACACTCTCAAAATAAGAATAACAATAGTTAATACACTGTATCATCTTCAAAGTAGTTACTCACCGTACAAGATACAGACAGAAAAGATTCCGTTATACAGAAACAGACATAAAAAATATGGAGTGCTCCTGAATTTGTGCAGGGGCCATGCTAATCTTCTGTGTATCGTTCCAATTTTAGTACATGGGCTGATGAAGAGAGCACATGAACAGTCAGTTCTTGAAAATATTAGGCCTGATTTGCTTGGTGATGGTCTGTTAATGTCTACTTTAAACAAGATTTATGATCAAAACTACTTCTAAAAATAACTTGGTAAAAATATTACTGAGTTAGTAGGACTTGATAAACCTAACTTCCTGCACATAGCTCATGTTTATGTAAAGTAAGCAAATTTGAAGGCACTTCAGTTTAAAGTCATTAAGTAGGCAAATAGAGATTTACTAAGCATAATCCAACTATCTGAAAAATTACAATACAGCTTCCACAGGAGTGAAATAACAGCTAAGAAATGTCTTACACACTGGAAACAGCTAACTTAGTATGTATTTCATTAGGTAATAAAGAGCATTTTACTCTTCAGATCCATCACTGACTTGCTCAGATTCTTGTTACTTATATATAATTTACGCATTCTGTTGTGGCAGGAGGTAAAATGTAGTTATGTGTTGTCATGGTTACTTCATTGATGGAACAGGTTTATTTTGGCCCATGTTTAGAAGTTTCACTCCTTGTGTGGCCTGGTGGACCAGGGTAGAGGAAAGGAAAGCTATTCATGTCATGGCATCCAAGAAGAAAACAAGACTAAGGGAGGAGCCAAGAAGGGAGATTATATCATTCCAGGTTACACCCCTTCTATCTGCCTCTTTCAGCCAGGGCCTGCCTCCTAATGTCGCATGGAGCTGTAACACCACCATGATCCAGTCACCTGTCAAAGCCTCACCTTCAAGCACACGAGGCTTTGAGGGGAAATCCAGACATAAACTACTACTCATGGCACTACTCAAGCTTCACTTGCTTTTGAGTGATGTTTGTTCTCAGTCTACAATATTAAGATACAGTCACCAAGCACGTATTAAATCTTTGGAGCAATTTTATTTGTCAAAATAAAGGCTGTTTGTCAGCCATTCTGTAAGGGTTCAGTGGAGGCTGTGGTTTTCCTTCTGGTGTCAGTGACTGAGGAGGGCTTAAGAGCCCTTGCCTGTGAGACACAGGAGGGTACCGTTTCAGTCTGTGCTGCGGGGATCTCTGATCTGGCAGAAGTCCACACTGATGCAGACAAAAGCTTCCTGGTTTATCCATTTGTCTCCATTAGTTGTTTGCTGCCCAGAGAAAAAGCAAAGAGTATCAGCAGTGTGAAGAGAAGAATGGAGTAGCAATATGTGTGTCTTCCATAAGAGGAGACTTTACATTAACGTAAGTTTATTTTCAAACAGAAAAAATACGTGATTTTTTTAGCTTTTAAAATAATTTGATAAAACACCGTGGCAGCATCCTGCAGAAAATAGCATCCCCTGGATCCTTCTCAAAAACCTCACAAACTGAGAACAAGTGGTAGAAAATTGGCAGGAAAAAATGAACAACAAATCTGTGTCCAAGTTATTGTAGGATGGTTCACTCAGTTCCACCTATTGTGATCTGTGTATTCCCAGAAATTGTGCTTTGCGAAATCATGAAAAAAACCAAGAAAGAAACAAACACCAAGGCTCAGAAACTGGTGAGAAGCACTCTGTAGGCTCAGGCAGGAAGACTGCAAGTTCGAGGACAGCCTGGACTTCATACCAGTAGCTAATTTGAGGTCAGCCTGGGATACATAGGAAATCCCTGTCTCAGAAAAACAGAACACACATACACATGAAAGGAAGGAAAGGAGGGAGGGAGGGAAGAAAAGAAGTCAAGAAAAAAAGGAGTTAGGTACACCACTGTCAAAAATCTCATAAAAACAAAAGATAGGAACCTAATAAAAATGGTAGCAAAGTTTTAACCATGTTAAATGATTACAAAAATATTATATATTTTATATATGTATTACAACATATGTAGTATATTACGTGTATATTATCATAGATATGATACTCCACCTTGAAAATGACCTTCCTTTCTCATGGAAATGGGCATCAGAAGGGTTGTAGCTTGTGAGTTACCGTGAATTGGCGAGAAAAGGGTGATCTGACATTGTTCGAGAAGTTGTAAGAGCAGACAAAGATGGATGTGGCTTGTTGTCCTCAGTTTGATTGTGGCACAGATCATCACAGTTAAGTGATCTTTTTGAACCTAAGTCCCAGGGGCACATTGGCCATCATTTCTGCCTTTAAAATACATATGAGTGTAATAGACAGGTATTTCATCAGTATTGAAAATTTGATCAAATGATAGCCTTCTTTTCCACTTAACTTCTGTATTCCTGCTGGAGGTTATGTTGTAGCCTTTTTTAAAAATTAACTTTATTGGTACATTTAATGTATACAATACAATGGCGTTCGTTGTTGGAAAATTATACCTTTACATAGTCAGTCTTGGTTCTTATTTTTTCCTCATCTCCCTCCCCTCCCTTCAACTGCTCCCTCCCTCCCTATCTTACAAAGTCTTTGTTTTTGTTTTCTCATATTAATTTCATGTGTTGTAGCCTTTCTGTGTGCACTTGTGGCCTTGTCTAATCATTAGAGCGTGGGAAACTGATTATTGAGGCTACCAAACTATCAATTTTTATCACTACAAGGAGCCACTTTTGCAGGATTTGGTAATACGTTAAGTTTTTGTAGCCAGGAG